ATGGGACATACTGATCATGCAAACCATTCTTCACTAAATGAAATCTCAAACCATTCTAGTGCTGCTAATTTGACCTCTGGTAGTGAGCACTCCAAGTTTGATTCAGTTATGTAAAGATAAGAACATCAACATTCCAGGATGATAAAGAAGTATTAGGAATGATTCTTCCTGTTATGGGGACCCTAAACCAAAACAAACACACAAAGCAAAAAATAATCAAAATAGACATGTTTTATTCAGCATAGGCTGCCATAGCAAAATACTACAGATGCAGTGGCTTAAGCAATAGAAATTTATTTCTCACAATTCTGGAAGCTAGAAAGTAGAAAATCAAGCTGCTGGCAAGGTAGGTTTTATTCTAAGGCCTCTTATTTTGGCAAACAACTCACTGTATGCTCCCATGTCTTCTTTACGTATATGCTGGTGGTTTGTGTGTATGTGGCTTGTGTTTATGTGTGGAGAAAACACACAAGCTTTCTGGTGTCTCTTCTTCCATGAGTACTAATTTCATTATGAGGGTCCCACCTTCATAACCCCATCCAACCATAATCAAAGGCTCAAACTCCAAATACCATCAGATTGGGTGTTGGAGTTTCAATATATGCATTTTAGGGGAACACAAACATTCAGTTCACAATGAGACTTGTGTGAGGATAGGAGTATCACTATTCCAGGAAAATAAAAATGCATTAGAAATCATCCCTTTCCTTATGAATCCTGTAACTAACATAAGCTTATGAACAAACACATGAAATAAAAAGTCATCAAAATGAGATTTTATATGATGCTAAAATACCAGATTGCAAAACAAAAACATAGTCATTCAACCAGTGAATGAATGCATGTATAAATTATGAAAGTATATATGACATAATGTTTATTAATTTATAAATCTATAATAAGTAAAATACATGTATTTTTATGATAAACATGAAATATGATATAGAATATAGTAAATATATATATTTACTTTCATTTTATAGAAAACATGTGCTATATGACTTTGTGGAAGAAATAAGATATATATTGAATCTTACATCACAAAGAGTAGAATTAATGCTAGTTTAGAATCCAAATCAGTTTTATTACCGATAGGCATCACAAGTAGAGACATAAGAAAGCATACTATTTAGAAATAGAGATAAAAGATGTTCATAGGGATAAGTATGGATTATAATTATGTAGTACTTAAAGTGCTATACAAAACAGTTGTAAGTATAATTGTTTTTATTTGACGTTCTTTTTAATGGTAAATGCTACAAGATGTTTTTGCACTTGTAAAGCATTATGCACATGTGAACACATGGGATGTAAGCTCAACAAGCATTTATATTTGATGATCATTATATTTGGTGACTCTTGCAATCCAAGCACACTGCTTGAATACAAATGACTAGTTAATAGGTATAATTAATAATTTCATTAATGTATTTCTATCATTTTATATCTGATATGACTAGTGCATGCTGTCTTAGTCTGATTAGGCTGCTATAATGAAATATCTTAGACTAGGCAGTTTATAAACAACAGAGATTTATTGCTCACAGTTCTAGGAACTGGAGTCATCCAAGATCAAGGCAACCACAGATTCAGTGTCTGGTAAGGACGGGCTCTCTCTCTTCTTCAAAGATGTGTCTTCTTGCTCTGTCCCCACATGTTGAAAGTGGCAAACATGCTCCCTCAAGCATCTTTTAAAAAGACACTAGTCCCATCCATGAAGGCAGAGCCCTCGTGACCTAATCAACTCCCCCCTCCCCACCTAAATGCCTTTTCTTAACTCACCTTGGAGGTTAGGTTTCAATATATGAATCTGGGGATGTGGGGACACAAACATTCAGACCATAGCATCTTATTCTGTCTTAACCAAGATACAAAGATTCATCCTAAGTAATTATTTTTACATTAGTGCTTTCCACAAGGATTGGAAAATAATGACAATGATGATGATTATTGCATTTGCACTTTTTTTGACCAGGTGTTTTATACACTTTATGATAATCTGCCTCTTCTGATCTGAACTCCTCCAAAAATTCATATAATGAAGTATTAACCACTAGCACTTCAGAATGTGCCTGTATTTAGAGACAGGGTCTTTCAAGAAATAATTAAGTTAAAATGAAGTCATTCAGTTGGAAGTTAAACCAATACAACTGGTGCCTTTCTAAGAAGATATTACGACACAGACAGGTACAGAGGGAAGACCATGTGAAGGCACAGGAAAAAGCCAGCTACCTGGAAGCCATGGAGAGAGGCCCCAGAAGAAACCAACCTTGTGGACATGCTGACCTCAGACTTCCGGCCTCCAGAACTGCGAGTAAATACATTTCTGTTGTTTAACTCACCTAGCCTGTGATACACTGTATAGCAACCCTAATAAGCTGATACACTACCCAACACCATTTATGATGTAAAACAAAAACACAAACAAAACCCACACGACTCAGGATTGATTTACTTGCTGAAGGTTAAGTTTGGTTTTATTTACCATTATTTACACTTTATGGCAAACAATTTAAGAAAAGATAAGCTTATTTTTCTTTCTTGAATTTTTCGTTGAAGATCAGATGGGTTGTCTTCAGTCTAATTTCTTAGTTGGAAAGACTTTCTGAATCTTGTCTTGTTAAATTGAACTGTTTAAAGCAAGTGCATAATAAGAGGCAAGAATGTACTAGAACGTTTAAGAGAATCACTCATGCAAATTCTGACATAATGTGTCATCCTCCCATACCTTAGAGAAGTTTCAAAGCAAAAATAAACTTGTGGCTTTTTATAAAGCAATGCATGCAAGAAAAGCCTCTACTAATTTAAATAAGTATTTATTTTGCTGTCAGCTATAAATAAATGTATTTCTTTTTTCCTATAAAATTGAAAAGTAGCACGATAATACAAAATGAATCAGGTTTTTTTTGCCAGTAAAATAGGTTAAATATATCTTTTTAAAATCAAATGAACATATATTACTTCTTAGTTATGGTCACTTCCTTTCTTCAACTTTCAGCATCTCTAAGTTCTCTTCTCAGGAGAACTATAGAATAGGCTAAGATTGGAATGTCCCTTCCAAAACTCATGTTGAAACTCAATCCCCAATGTGGCAGTGTTTAGAAGTGGGGCCTTTAAAAGATGATTGAATCATGATGGCTCTCCCTTCATGGATGAATTTATTCATTTTTTGATTAATGGATTAATGGGTTAATAGGTTAACATGTTGTCATGGGAGTGGGTCTAGTGGCTTTATCAAAAGAGGAAGAGAAACCTGATCTAGTGTGTTAGAATGCTAGGCTCCCTTTCCCTGTGATAACTTGTGCCACCTTAGGACTCTTTGAAGAGTCTCCACCAGCAAAAAGGCTCTCACCCACTTGGCCCCTAGACCTTGGACTTCTCAGCTTACGGAGCTATAAGAAATAAATTTTGTTTGTTTATGAATTACCTCGTTTCAGGTATTCTCTTATAAACCACAGACATGGACGTTACCCTATTTAATAAGTTTGATAGAGTGGAAGGGAGCCAGATTGCCAGCCAAATTGTCTATACAGGTTCATAAATTTGCCTGTCACGGTTCCATAGATGCTCACTGAAGACATGAGAATCCTGGTTAGAGATAAAAGATTCTATGACTCACAACAAAAGCAGTGGAAAGAGTATCGGTACTGTTCAGCTGGGTCTCTGCATTTCACATCTCACATGGAGACACAGGAGGCCAGGCAGAGCCTCCATGTGCTGTGGGATGTGCCATAAGAGAAGAACTTGGGGAATCCATCAAACTTAGAGAATCCACTATTTCACACTAAGCAGTAAGCAAACCTATTATCTTTCTAGAGAAAAATTTGGTTTAACTCAGAACTATGTAATGCTTTCCTGCAATGCATTTCTTCAGATCTCAGAATTGCCAGCTACATAAACAATACTAAGTTGCTTAGGCAAAAGACAAATCAGTCTTGTGTTTTTGCACACTCATCAAGATTATAAGAAAGCAAGAGACCCAGAGAAAACTTCCTCTCACCAGTAGGTGTTTAGATGTCATTTTATTTATTTAAAGAGAGAGAGAGATATTAGATAATTTTGGTCCATGCATTATTTACATTTATTGTATACAAAAACAAAACTATAAGAAAGGAACAGTAATTATTGACCATTTTCAAAAAATGTTTCAAAAACATTAAGTGATTAGGTGAATTGCTCAAGCAGAGTGGTAGAACCATGGTTCTGAATGAATGCAGAGATTTTCTCAAACTCTGTTCCAGGGACAGAAGTGAATCAGTAAGAATTACCTTAAGTAAATCAGTAACAAATAATTTTCCTCAGCTCTCTTGTGAATTCAGTATAAGAGTATTAGATATACGGTAGTTGCACTTATTGAGATGTTAATTGCTTAAAAGATTGAGAACTATCTGTGTTTAATTCTCTATATTTTTCCTCTTCTAAGTCAAGAAATTAGTTAGTCCTTTATTACTTGTTTTTGTGATTTTATAGCCCATCTTCAAAACATGAGTTGTCTAAAGACAGTGCATCTTTTGGTCTGGGTGGGGAGGAAGCTTGAAATTAGGGGGAGTTGAGTAGCAGGGAAGGAGTAAAGGAAAGAGATATAGGCTTTGGGATGAGGGAGCAAGAGAAAATAGAGATGATGGATATTAGTGGCCTCACTAGGAAATGGCAGGATCTGTGACATACATGAGGTGAAGTTGTGGTGGAAGTTATGGCTAGGGTGTGTGGCGTGTTTTTAGCTGAGCTGATATATTCAATCGTGGGAATGTAACTACTGAGCTTAGTAGCAGTTAAGTACTAAGTTCTAAAAGCCTCCTAAAATTTTCCTTCTGTTTAAGAACAATGTTAATTTTGCTCCAAAGAAAGTAGACTGGGATGATTAAGGCTGTCTACAGTCTAACCAAGTAAAATTCACGCTAAATCTAGCTTAGTTAAAATAAAATAATACAATTTTTCTTGACTGCTGGTGTGTCACCAAGTGATGTTGTGCAACATATAAAATGCCCCAAATGGCGCACCCCGTCGAAGACCCTCACCCGTGCCCCGACTGGTCCCCCCTTTTTTGTAAAACTTAAAGCAGGCGCGGCATTAACGCTTCCCGCCCCGGTGACCTCTCAGGGGTCTCCCCGCCAAAGGTGCTCCGCCGCTGAGGAACATGGCGAAGGTGGAGCAGGTCCTGAGCCTCGAGCCGCAGCACGAGCTCAAATTCCGAGGTCCCTTCACTGATGTTGTCACCACCAACCTGAAGCTTGGCAATCCGACAGACCGAAATGTGTGTTTTAAGGTGAAGACTACAGCGCCACGTAGGTACTGTGTGAGGCCCAACAGTGGAATAATTGATGCAGGGGCCTCAATTAATGTATCTGTGATGTTACAGCCTTTAGATTATGATCCCAATGAGAAAAGTAAACACAAGTTTATGGTTCAGTCTATGTTTGCTCCAACTGACACTTCAGATATGGAAGCAGTATGGAAGGAGGCAAAACCGGAAGACCTTATGGATTCAAAACTTAGATGTGTGTTTGAATTGCCAGCAGAGAATGATAAACCACATGATGTAGAAATAAATAAAATTATATCCACAACTGCATCAAAGACAGAAACACCAATAGTGTCTAAGTCTCTGAGTTCTTCTTTGGATGACACTGAAGTTAAGAAGGTTATGGAAGAATGTAAGAGGCTGCAAGGTGAATTTCAGAGGCTACGGGAGGAGAACAAGCAGTTCAAGGAAGAAGATGGACTGCGGATGAGGAAGACAGTGCAGAGCAACAGCCCCATTTCAGCGCTAGCCCCAACTGGGAAGGAAGAAGGCCTTAGCACCCGGCTTTTGGCTCTGGTGGTTTTGTTCTTTATTGTTGGTGTAATTATTGGGAAGATTGCCTTGTAGAGGTAGCATGCACAGGATGGTAAATTGGATTGATGGATCCACCATATCATGGGATTTAAATTTATCATAACCATGTGTAAAAAGAAATTAATGTATGATGACATCTCACAGGTCTTGCCTTTAAATTACCCCTCCCTGCACACACATACACAGATACACACACACAAATATAATGTAACAATCTTTTAGAAAGTTAAAAATGTATAGTAACTGATTGTGGGGGGAAGAATGATCTTTATTAATGACAAGGGAAACCATGAGTAATGTCACAATGGCATATTGTAAATGTCATTTTAAACATTGGTAGGCCTTGGTACATGATGCTGGATTACCTCTCTTAAAATGACACTCTTCCTCGCCTGTTGGTGCTGGCCCGTGGGGAGCTGGAGCCCAGCGTGGTGGGGAGTGAGGTCATCTCCACACAGTAGTCCCCACGTGGCCCACTCCCGGCCCAGGCTGCTTTCCATGTCTTCAGTTCTGTTCAAACCATCAGCTCCTTGGGACTGATGAACAGAGTCAGAAGCCCAAAGGAATTGCACTGTGGCAGCATCAGACGTACTCGTCATAAGTGAGAGGCGTGTGTTGACTGATTGACCCAGCGCTTTGTAAATAAATGGCAGTGCTTTGTTCTCTTAAAGGGACCAAGCTAAATTTTTATTGGTTCAGGTAGTGAAGTTGAACTGTTATTCAGAGATGTTTAATGCATATTTAACTTATTTAATGTATTTCATCTCATGTTTTCTTATTGTCACAAGAGTACAGTTAATGCTGTGTGCTGCCAAACTCTGGTGGGTGAACTGGTATTGCTGCTGGAGGTCTGTGGGCTCCTCTGTCTCTGGAGAGTCTGGTCATGTGGAGGTGGGGTTTATTGGAATGTTGGAGAAGAGCTGTCAGGAAGTGTTTTTCTGGGTCAGTAAATAACAACTGTCATAGGGAGGGAAATTCTCTGTAGTGGCAGTCAACTCTAGGTTACCTTTTTTAATAAAGAGTAGTCAGTATTCTAGATTGTTCTTATACCACCTCTCAACCATTACTCATACTTCTAGCACCCAGGCCCAAGTCTGAGCCTAACCTCTCCTTGGGGACCTAGCTTGGAGTCAGGACGAATGGATCGGGGTGCAGAAGGTTAGAATCGAGGGCACCAGCAGTTGGGGGTGGGGAGCAGTGGGAGAGAGAGACTCTTCAGCTAATCCTTCTAGTACTAGTTGAGAGTTTGACTGTGAATTAATTTTATGCCATAAAAGACCAATCCAGTTCTGTTTGACTATGTAGCATCTTGAAAAGAAAAATTATAATAAAGCCCCAAAATTAAGAAAAATAAAATAAAATAAAATAAAATAAAAATAATAAAATGCCCCAAATAACTGACCAACCAAAAGTATTTGACTTAAACTGAATAAAACTTGAATGGAATTGAATGTGTTCAGTACCTGGAGTTTGAACTATTTCCTGAAGGGGTCATGCTATCATTATTTAGACACATTTAGTTTCCACTACTGGTATTTACCTAGTAGAAATGTACCTGCCTACTTCTTTGGGGAGCAAAGATAAATCATAGATGAGAGACCAGTAGAAACTGAAGGAAATATAAAGAACATCATATATAATTTTTCTTTCATTTTTAATATTAACAAAGATTTAAACATTACACAACCTCATAGAAAAACAATAATATGAAATAATGTCTTAAACCTAAGTTACAGCAATAAAACCCAGACATAAAAAAGGATATACTCTTTTACTCAATTTAATGGAAAACCAAAACAGATTGAAGGTATAGATCATGCTGGAAACCAGATTAATAGCAGCCCCCTTGAAGGAGCACTAGGGAGATACAAGAAGACCTTCTAGGATCTGGTTATGGCCCATTCTTAAACTCTGTGTGTTGAGTACGTGATTGTGTTCAGTTTGTGAAAATTCATCAAACTGTATATCTCTGCCATTTGCAGTTTGAGATTTGTATAGTTTACTTCATTTTCAAGTAAGAAAAAAAAAGAAATTTAAATTAATTGCCTAAAATAAATTAAGTCATCTGAATCACAGTTGAATTTTCTTTATAGTGCATAATTCTGTTTTTGTATAGTATATTATAAACCTATATCTGTAAAATAATAGAAATAAATATGGCAAGGCTTTAGACTAAATGATGTTCTAATCAAATATACTTTCAAATAATTTTATAAATTCCCCCAAAGTCAGTCCTTTCTTGATACTAATTTTAAAAGCTATAAATGACATATGAAAATAAATATTGTAACTTGAAAAGTTAATGTTTCTTTTTGCATAATCTCATTAGCTCTGTCCAGGTAGAATAATGGGGAATCTCAAAACACGAGGGAGTGTGTATGAAATGCAAAATTCCATCTAGGGGCCAAATTGGGCCCCTATAATAAACCAATTGCCTATATCTAGCCTATTCTATGCAAATATTATGATTCTCTAGATATTTATGTGAAACGACAATATGACAAATAATAAACGCATATAATTATTTAAGTATATAATTAAATGCCTTGTATGCATTTTATCTTATGTAATGTTACCTGTCCTTGGACAACTTAGAAGTTTGTCAGATGTGTTGGTTTATTGCAAGACAGCCACATTTAGTTATCTGAGGGAAAGTATAACACAGTAGAAAAATATAGCTGGTTTTGCTTCAATCAGTCCAAAGAAAGGGAATTATTATAGTATGGTATTTTAATGATGTGCTTTATTTTGCACACTAACCAGAGGCAATAGAAGCATCTGTCCCAGCAGAAGCCAAGAGGCACCAGGATATTTCCTTGTTCATTCATAACTGGTACTTTCTTTTTCAGTCTTAACTGTATAAATGTTGTCAAAAGACATTTATGCCAGTTGTATCTTGATATAAATATTGAACTAATTTATGTATTTTTATTTTTGAAAGAACTATTATAAGTCTTAGAAAAATTTGTTGGAGTATGGTAGCTTGAATATTTTATCGAAATACCTTTCATGACAGAACCTATGATACCAGAATCTAAGAATTTCATGAAACAGACATCAGCTAAGGAACTCTTAATATAGTGAGCTCTGAGCCATTTTGCCTTGGTCTCCTTGACAAGTGTTATCTAATTTCAGAAAACCATAAGAAATTTAATAAATTAGTTAAGAGAACATAAACGATACAAAAATATCAGAAATCTAAAATGTATTAAGATTTATTATGATAGTTAAGTGAAGAGTGCTTTTCTTTTAATTAGAGAAATGATTATTCACCAAAAATGACTGACGGTGTAACAGTCTAAAACCTTCATTTGCCACATGAAAAAACTTAGGTCCATGGCAGCTAAGATGATTAAGAGACATTTTCAAGGCATACTGGTTCATTGATAGCTATGCTAAGTTTGGAACTCCATTTTCTGTTTCTTGACCATTACCCACTTCTTCTCTTCCTCCCTTCCTTCCTTCTTTCTTTCCTTCTTTCTTTCTTTCTTTCTTTCTTTCTTTCTTTCTTTCTTTCTTTCTTTCTTTCTTTCTTTCTTTCTTTCCTTCCTTCCTTCCTTCCTTCCTTCCTTCCTTCCTTCCTTCCTTCCTTCCTTCCTTCCTTCCTCGCTCTTTCAGATTTATTGGGATATAATTCACATGCCATACAATTTACTCCCTTAAGGTGTATAACTTAGGATTCTGCATCCTTCATCTGAATCTAATTTTAGAATATTTGTTTTCCCTTTTTAAAAAACCGATACCCATTAGCTGTTAATCTGACATTCTAGCACATGTCTTTTGCAAAACATATGTATACCCTGCTTTAGGGTATATACCTGGATTAGAATTTCTAGATCAAAGTTTTGCATGTGTGCAGCTTCAGTAGACAGTGTGAAGCAGTTTTTCAAAGTGACTGTACTGAGTTACATGTCTATCAGAGCATATAAGTCTTATTTGTTATACATTCTCATTAACATTTGATATTTGCAATGCATTTCATTTTAGCCATTCTAATGGTATGTGGTACTATTACATTTTGGGTTTAATCTTCTATTCTTTGATAACTAATGAAGTTGAATGCATTTTTATATATTTCTTGACCATTTAGATTTTCTCTTTTGAGAATCATCTATTCAAGTCTTTTGTTTGTTTTTCTATTGGGTTGTCTAATATTTCTATCTTTCTTAATACAAAAAGAAAAGGAATTCCAAATAAGATCACATTTTGTGGTACTGAAGGTTAGGACTTTAAATATAATGTTTGAGGGGACATGATTCAACCCATAACATCATCTGTTGAAAACAACTACAAATGTTGGATAAAATATTTTTTAAATGCTGTCTTTAAATGAGCTATATGGAGGCTAATAAATAGGAGGGATCTATGTAAAGGAACGTTTCAATCCAGAGAGGTAAGTAATCTCTCAGAGCAGCTAAGAAACTTTTCCCATAGTGGCATTTACTAATTAGGCAAACTTGGACTTTGGAATTTAAGCTTCTGAAGACAAGAAGGATAAAGTAAAAACCCAAAGCTCACCTCAAGTGGTATGGCTCACAAAAATTTTCCCCACTGTAGACTGTGATCCAGAATACTATACTTCTAGGACACCACTTAGAAGGTTGCCTTGTCAATGAAAGAGCAAGAAAAATAAGCAAAGGGAAAACACCGATAACAGAATCAGTCATGAGTTTTGCATAAGTTTACAGCCTGGGTTGACGACCTGCGTTGTACATGTACCTTTCATTGTACGTGAAACCTTAAGTCACAATCTTGGTTTTTGATGGTCTTGCCTTGGTAGTGCCTATAGGACTGGCAGAAGCAAACACAAATTCTTCCTAACAAAAGATACCTTTATTCTAGGCCTCCAAAAATCTGTTAAAAACATTTTTAACAACAGTAAGAAGTACGCATCAGAATTAGCCAAATATAAAAAGAAATCAGACCAAAAAAAAAAACCCAAACAAGCAAAAATAACAAACGGCAGAAATGGACTCAGACAAACTTCAGATATCTGCAATTATCAGAGACAGATTATAAAACAACCACATTTACAATGTTTAAGGAATTATAAATAAGCTTGACGATGTCTCAGAGACCCAAAATTATTAAACATAGCCCAATATATTTTTAAAAGCCATAATGAACATTTAGACATTAAATATACAAAAACCAAAATCAAAAACTTAATGGAAAGGATTGTCATCAGATCAGACACAGTAGAAGAGTCAAATAGCAAACTAGAAGCAGATTTAGATAAAACTCTGCAAAAGGGAGCACGATAATACATCACTAGATTTGATTAGATCTGGAAATTTCACATGGTAGATATAGTGAAGTCTATAATACGTTAAATCAGAATTTAAAGAAGAAAGCAGGGAACAATGAGGCAAAGTTAATATTTGAAGATAGAATGGCTAAATTTTTCCTGTATTAATAAAAATGCCAATTTGGGAGGCCTAACAAATTCTTTTTAGAATAATTTTTTAAAATATTGCATCTAGACACACCTTAGTTAAATTTTAAAACATCAAAACAGAAAAGACATTATTAAAATTAACCAAAGATTGAAGAGATTATTCACAAATTTATTCAAGGTAAATTGACAACTGACTCTTTAAGAGCAGCACTCGTAAGCTAACAGAGAGTGGAAGGTCATCTTCAATGTGCAGCAAAAGAGGACAGAGAACTGGAGTCCTAGAACATGAAATCAAACAAAAATATCTTCAGTAATAAGAATTACATGAATTCACATTCATGCAAAAATCATGTGACCAGTAGACCTCTGGCAGAAAGCTAATGCTTCCAGATAGAAGGTCTGAGAAGAAAGAAAAAAGTGGTGAACATACAGGTAAATCTAAACAAATCATGACTGTACAAACAAAATTAGTGCATTTTAGTGTTAAACACTCAAGATAGATTAAAATATCCAATAACAATAACATAAATAGCAGATAATCGTTACTGTATTTTAATCCATGTAATTATCAGGAGAAAGATTGAGCTATCAATAAACTTTTAACTTATGATGGATGTTATTACTTTTATTGTAGCCCCAAAAAGAAAAACAAATAAATTATACATTCTAAATAGGTAGAATATTCATATTTCATGACCGAACAGTTCCATTATTGGGAATATAGCCTAGAAAATGAAGGACTTGGGCACAGGACAATTAAAAATAGCTCCTCACTAGAAATAATTCAAACTTCTCTCAATACTTGTTGGGAAAGCAATAACAATGTAGTCTAAAATAAAGTTCTACACAGTATTGAAAATAACAAACTGCAGCTATACGCAAAAATACAGATGAAATGCAGAAACAGAATTTTGAATAAAAACAGCAAGGCACATATATTTTATACCCTT